CCGAGGCCGGAGTCTTGCCCACTGTTGCCATTGGATTTCTTGATTGATTTTTTTACAGTTGCTTATTCAATCTTCTGGAAAAACATTTTTGCATTTTACTTGTTTAATGGCGATCGATTTCTCTAGTGTTATCGGTGTGGCTTCTGGACTCTTGCCTGAGATGCTTTTGCATCCCGGGCCAGAGCCTTTCCCCACTATTGCCATTTATAGATATATATTTTGTTGTTGTTGCTTTATTATGTATGTGCCTATTTTGGCTGTTGTCTTTCTTACCACTTATGTGGTTTTTTTTATAAAAAAAAAACATGTTTTATTTTAGCTAGTGTTTCCATGTTGTGCATTTCTATACTTTCATATAGTATGGTTCCTTGAATAGCCCCATTCATTTTTCCTCTGTTAGGGTCTTTGCTTTTTTTCTGTACAACCAGCCTGCCTATATATGGATTGAAATATCACCGCTCCCTGCTGAAACAGCCAAATTTCGATCCATTTATGGCTGGCTTGAGTAATTAAAAAAAAAAATGCTAGTTAATGTAATTTTTGCTGCCTAGAACTCATTTGTAAAGTGACCTGGAAGGTTAGCGATACGGGTGCTTCCATTGCGGTCTTGTTTCAGATCAACTCGCGAAATGGATGGCCATGGTCAGGATGACTCCTCTAGAGCCAGCACCTTTACAAAACAATCATTTTGGGAAGATCCAAAATTTCTATCTTCATAGGTTCACTTTAAACTGTTGCCTGTTGGGTTAATGTGGTACTATCTCTGGATCCCATTTCACTGACCAAGGCCATTGATGGGGTTTTTCACCTTTTTTGGCTCTCCACAGCTTAGGCTGTTCTCACAGTTCTCAGTTATCTTTCCTTATCTCTGCTCAGTCTTCCATGCAGAGCATGTCCTTACCCGTCCTCATCAGCACTCTGGCTGGGATGAAGTTTGTCACGCATGACCTGTGGTTGTAATTGCTTGTTGTCCAGATCGTGCACAGTATTGTGCATGACCCCCGAAGTATTGGGCCTGGATTGCACTCCTGTTACTGTGCCACAATGGTGATTCAAGGTTTCTCTCAGCATTCCGGCTGCCTTCAAGTATTCTCCTCCATGGTAGCAGAGGGCTCATTGGTGGGTATTGTATGAGCTAAGGAAGGGGGCAGGGATGCTCCTCTGTCATGTACTTCTTCAGATTGCCTGTTCTGCAGTTTCTCTCCGAATTCAACGCTCCGGCAGATTGTTCAGCCGATTGAGCACATGTCCTCAAGTGTGCAAAACGCATCCTTTAATGAGCAAATGAAGTGTGGCTGAATAGCACTTTCAGACGTCTTCACGCCGCTGTCAGGGTTCACGTCAGTGAAGAGACAGCTGATTAAAAAATCTCTCCATGTGAAAATTGGCTTGTTTCAGACCTTGATGCGTTCAGACGCACCCGTTATGCAGTGTCAGGGATGCAGATTGCTAGCATGGTATGTGTGAAATGTCAGCACAAATTAGATTTCTTTTGCAGATCTTCAAAGGAAAAAAAAAGAATGTTAAACAAATTTCTTGCTTAACCTAATTGCTGAAATAATGACAATAAAGAGGAGTCTGGTGCCATTAAGAGCAGCTGAAGCCCTGATGAATGATGGGAGACTGACTTGTGGTCTGTAAATGAGACGCTGAATAATAATTTGTCTTTTGTTTTGCTTCAGGTGTGTCTGAAATAATTTATTCAGTTTCTAGCTTGGAAGCTTTAGCTAGCCGGCATGATAATTACCAATATGGTTCTTTATTATTATTATTTTTTTTTTTCTTGGTTTGTATTGCTAGCTTTAGAAGGCTTACAAAGTGTATTGGTTTCAATGCATTTTGTATCTTCATCTGAAAATGGTCCATAGATGACTCAATTTTCTTTCCTTCCACCACGGGTGGAAGGAAAGAATATCTCCATTCCTCCATCTACACAGTGTTGATGGGGGAATGCCTCTGGCAGTGCTATTGTGCTCTGCCGACAGGGGAGTGTGGGGAGCCTTTCTAGCCGACAGAACACAATGATTACTGCTGGTGGCCACCACTGGCAGTAATCCGATATAAAAAATTTCAACATGCTAGTTGTACCCAAGTCGATCGATGGATTGACTTTGGTACAATCAGCCTACCCCATACACAAATCAAATGTTGGCCGGTCCCTGCTGAACCAGTCGTATTTTGTATTATTTGTGGCTCTGGCTTTTGTTTTTAAACAAAAATGATGAGCTGGAGGTAAAAGTACCCATGAGAAGGAGATCTAGATTAGGTGATAAATATTCTCCTAAATATTTAGCAGCATTGTACAAACACTATGAATGAATCACATCTGGCCCTACAGAAACGTTTGTCTTTCTACCACAGTCTTCCAGACACATGTATACATGGTTTCTTAGAGCAGGCAGACTGCATGGACAAGAGAAAATCTATTCATTGTTCAATGGGCATTGGAGGAAAGATGGGAAATGTCCAGCTGCTGCATTTTGGGTGTCTATTCCACCGCACCCCTCTGCCAGACTTGGGCTGCATTCACACCTAAGTGTTCCAGAAATGCTTGTTTTCTAAAGAAAAATTGTGCAAAACTTGTAATGCCGTTATTTCTTATATTCTTAATAGCACCCAAACATGGGTGGCAGTCCTGCATTTGGTCACCTTACCCTATGCTGTTGCACAACAAAACACAATGTGACACTCGGGTGCAGCCTTATGTTCACTTAACTGATCCAGCAACACATCTGACAAGCCTGCTGAGCCACTGCGGAGCTGCTTCAGCACATGTGCTCTGCATTTCATCGTGGGCCTCATTCACATGAGTGCTGAGGTCCGTATACTGATTGCAGGCTGTGTTTTTTCTGCGTCACTAAGCTACAGGTGCTGTGTGCAGGTAGCCCATTCACGTCTATCAGGACACAGTGGCTGCACAGACACAGCCGCTTGCCCTGATGTGACAGGCGTGTGGTGACTGACCCCCAGATGCAAACGGTGAAACACAAACTCACATTGGATTGAATGTAGCGTTCCCTGTACATGCGTGGGACTGGCTCAGAACATTTTCAAAAATGCCCGCATCAGCATTATCTCACTGAATCCTGGACAGACATAAGCCCGTGAGGAATGGCTGGGGGAAGGCAGTTTTAATTTAACCAACTTCAAACTCTTTCTGTTTTACACATTTCAGGTATAGAACTATTGTGTCCTTGTTAAGTGTGTGTATTGTGGAAGCAGAAGTGCATCAAAACCTAAAAGCAAAATGTAATATATTGCAACTTACCAGTCTTTCAATATGTGGTGGCTGCATTGGTTTCTCTTTTCCTTATATTTTCACTTGGTAATCCTGTGAATAACACGCTTTTTGCCCCTGGGAGGATACGATTTACTGTATCTATTGTGAGAGCCATGGCTGCCACCCAGTCGGGACTACAAAACAAGGACAAACAACCCCCTGTGCTCGAGTAGTGCTCTGGGAAGAAATAGATCACAGGTCTTTAGCAATTCAGATAGTGGCACAGGGTTTGCTGCCCGTTGAGGGCTGGGGGAACCCAGAAGAAGTACTGCAAAACCAGGAACAGAGGGCGCACCAGCCTTGCGCATTACCCTTAGCTGATTTAGTAAAATAGATCTACAATAGATATACTCACAAACAACTTCAATAATAAAGGGGCAACAATGTACTCAAAGCGACCTGGTCACCTAGACACTAGAGTACCCGCCAAAAGGCTGACGCGTTTCAAGGGTGGATCCTCTCTTCCTCAGAGCCAGACTTGGATGTTGCACAGGTGTAAAGTATACATCTGTTTTTACTAAAACATTAAAGCTATCACAAAGGTAATGCACAAGGCTGGTGTGCCCTCTGTTCCTTGTTTTACAGCACTACAAAAATGCCTGCCTTTTGTTCATATCCCTCACATGGAGGCTGATGGGATTAGTAGTTTGCATAGGAGAACTTTATTATTTTATTCAGTTCAGCTCACAGGACACTGCATTTCTGGCTAGATCAGTAGGTATTTTCTGAACTTGCATGTGCAGCTCAATATTCACAAACATTGACAGGAAAGAGATCATTTATGGCAGAAAGCCCCAATAGGGTCTCTTCTGTCATAAAAATGTCTACCTATCAGCATATTTTGTTTAGTTTAATTTCAACTTTAAATCGGTATTAAACCTCAAGTCCTTTGGATGTGGTGACTGCATGTTTCTATATTTTTTTTAGGCTTTTTTTCTTCCATTGTCCAGCCAGTGACACATATTCTGTTTTTTAGGGTGGCTATGCCACTCCATTGTATGTATGGAGGAGCAATGTAGCCATCTTTGAACAACAGCATTGTCAGCTTGTGGGAAGGAAAAACATTTGATGAATTAGTAGATTTAAACCACTACCACTTTTGCTTAAAAGCTTGGTCTGTTAAAGCATGTTGAAAAATAAGATTCACCGGCAGGATCAGCAGGTTTAAAAAAAAAAAAGTCCGCACAAGACTGATTGTTTGAGGACAGGCAGGCTGAGCTCTCAGCGCAGCCAGAAAACTGACCACTCTGGGCTGGATGTACTGTCATGCCTAGCATGGTCAGTTTGAAATAAAAAAGCAGAGGGAACTAAAAGGAAGCAACACAAAGAACAGGATATTTATTCATACAAGTTCATGGTACAGCAGGCACTTGTTAGGAATATGAAATGTTGGGCTGATCTATTCTTTAAAGATGGAAATGATAGAACATCTGTCAGATTTTGTTTTCCCGGTGCAGCTTTTCTCAAATTTTTGCTCTGGTAACAACCTTTACCAGACAGGAAGTTAGGGAAAATCTCTCAAATGGCGTCTCGTTGAACAGAAGAACCTGATGGATTCAAGCCTTTTCACATTCTATCCAAAACTATAAAGAAAATAGCTCTGTGGCATCTGAAGCATTTCAATGTTTAACACTGACTGAGCAAAGATTTATTATAGGCGTTTTTTTTTTTTTTTAATCTGTTCAACATGATTATTTTTTTACCCATTTTTCCCCTCTTGTAGGTGCTCTTTGGATGTGCATTGTCTTAAATCCCCACTGCAAGTCTGAGCAGAAAGCTAGCTGGCTGAAACAGCTGAAGAAGTGGAATAGTGTGGATGTCTGTCCCTGGGAAGATGGCAACCACGTCAGTGAGCTGCCCAACTTAACCAATGCCTTGCCTCAGCCCGGAAATGCCAACCAAGGTGAGAATTCAGGGTGCATTGTGAGAGATACTGTATGCATGTTAACCCTACATTTACTCATTCAAAGTGAAATTCACAATTAACAAAAAATATAAATACACTGCTCAAAAAAATGTAAAGGAGCACTTTTTAGTCCGAGTATAGCATCAAGTCAGTTAAACTCCTGGGAAATTGATCTGGTCAGTTAAGTAGCAGAGGGGGTTGTTAATCAGTTTCAGCTGCTTTGGTGTTAATGAAATTAACAACAGGTACACTAGATGGGCAACAATGAGACGACTCCCAAAACAGGAATGGTTTTACAGGTGGAGGCCACTGACATTTTTTCCCCTACTCCTCTTTTCTGACTGTTTTTCACTAGTTTTGCATTTGGCTAGGGTCAGTGTCACTCCTGGTAGCATGAGGTGATACCTGGACCCTAGAGAGGTTGCACAGGCAGTCCAACTACTCCAGGGTGGCACATCATTACGTGCCATTGCCAGAAGGTTTGCGTTGTCTCCCAGCACAGTCTCAAGAGCATGGAGGAGATTCCAGGAGACAGGCAGTTACTCTACGAGAGCTGTACAGGGCTGTAGAAGGTCCTTAACCCATCAGCAGCTTTGTGCAAGGAGGAGCAGGATGAGCATTGCCAGAGCCCCACAAAATGACCTGCAGCAGGCCACTGGTGTGAATGTCTCTGACCAAACAATCAAAAACAGACTTCATGAGGGTGGCCTGAGGGCCCGACTTAGTGGGTCCTGTGCTCACAGCCCGGGACCATAGAGCTGGATTGGCATTTTCCATTGGACACCAGAATTGGCTTTTCACAGATGAGAGCAGGTTCACCCTGAGCACATGTGACAGATGTGAAAGGGTCTGGAGAAGCCATGGAGAATGTTATGCTGCCTGTAACATCGTCACCATGACCGTTTTGGTGGTGGGTCAGTGATGGTCTGGGCAGACATATTCTTGGAGGGATGCAGAGACCTCAAGAGGCTAGACAATGGCAACCTGACTGCCATTAGGTATCGGGATGAAATCCTTGGACCCATTGTCAGACCCTACGCTGGTGCAGTGGGTCCTGGGTTCCTCCTGATGCACAACAATGCCCGGCCTTATGTGGCGAGAGTATGCAGGCAGTTCCTGAAGGATGAAGGAATTGATACCATTGAATGGCCCCCACGCTCGCCTGACATAAATCTAGTAGAATGCCTCTGGGATATCATGTTTCAGTCCATCCGATGCTGCCAGGTTGCACCTTCAGACTGTCCAGGAACTCAGTGATGCCCTGGTCCAGATCTGGGAGGAAATACCCCAGGACACCATACGTCGTCTCCTTAGGAGCATGCCCCGACGTTGTCAGGCATGCATACAAGCACAAGTGGGCCATACAAACTACTGTACTGTTTTTTTCAGTTGCAATGAAATTTCAGCAAAATGGACTAGCCTTCTGCATAATTTTTCACTTTGATTTATATAGGGTGTCTTTGAATTCAGTCCTCTGTAAGTTGATAATTTTTATTTCCACCAAACGATGGGGCATCCTTTCGTTCTTAACACATTACCCAGTCCATATCAGTATAGATATCTAGCATGATATTTTTCCCCATTGAGATCTGATGTGTTTCCAAAGTGTTTCTTTAATTTTTTTTTAGCATTGTTTAGAAGGGCACATATATTTGCAGGTTAAAAAAAAGGGGGACATTATTTATTCTTTCATACAGGAGCCTGCGAAATATTGCACCAGCGACCAGCAGATTGCAGGTATAGTGTCAGGCTCCAGCACACTCTACTTCCATCTTTTTGAGTGTACCTTTTTGTACAGGCTTTCAGTTTGAAAGCTGGAGGGAGTGTGAATGGACTACAAACATGCTGATTAATATGCTCCCAGTCCATTGAGAACTACAAGCCTGCCAGCCATGGTGGTAGACAACGGGACTTGTAGTTCATTCATTCACAGATCCCTTTGAATACATGATGTGATTGTGTGTGCAGAGCTGAACATTTACACCCTAAATACCGGTGTAACATGTTCTAAACATATACGTATCCTTTAAAGTACGGTTTGCCATGTGGCATTGCGTGTCTGTTGGACACCTAGCATCTCCATATGGAAAGATGGCCCATGATGCTGGAGGTGCAGCCTGACTCCAAAGGGTGATTACATTGTAAATGGGCAGTTGTATCTTGATACTCAGCAGTCATTGTACTAGTACCTGGAAAGCTCTTAACATCTATTTTTTTTCATAAAAAGACAATTAAGGGAGTTTTAAAATGGGTGCAATTTTAATACAATAACTGTGTGTGTGTATGAGGGCAGTCCTGATTAAGGGAGCACAGCAATAACTGATAAGAGTGTAAAAAAAACTAGTAGATGTGGCTATCAGAATCACGTGTCACACAGAGATGCTCCAGATAAAATGAAACCAGCTTGGTTTTGAACATGTATTCAGCCATAACACCAGTCTGCGGTAGTTTGCAGAGGTTCAAGGACATATAGATGTTTGTCTCTGGGCCTTTCTAAAGGGGATATCTGCTTATCTATGGCCAGGCTATCATTGAAACTTCCTATATTTTCATTGGAAAGACTTGGGGGGGGCGGTGTAAAACCCTACAGCTGCGCCACACCTTTAGCATGGCCCAACAGCTACCCTCTTTAGCTGGGGTTGTACACATGCCATAGCAGAAACGATATCTTCTGTCGCTTGATTGGAGTTGCTCTGCAAGCACCCTGCAACAACGTGCAATGCATGTGGTTGTGGTTCGCTAGTATGGGGTTCAAGCAGGCGATGAGAATGCAATACAAACCATCTTCATTGCCGGTCCAATGCTCACTACAGAGCAATCCAAACATGTTCACACTAGCTCTGGTCTCTAAAGAATGATCCAAGTCCTAAATAAGTTTTGGATTGCACGCAGTTCCAGTCTTGGCCATTATGGGAACACACATCTTAAGGACAACATGGATCATGTGTTCATAACTATGAAAATTACCAATCTACATGTATTTCACATAGATATTGCCATGTCTTTTCAGTGCATATTTTTAAATATTGTAGTTTCCCTTAAAATCTTCAGACAATTGTACAAATGATTTTTTTTTTAGTTATTTGTATTCGGTTCAAGTAAATGTGCCTGAAAACGTAATGGTGCACTATGGTCATGAGCTGCTACAATGGATAATATTAGTAGTGAAGCAGCTGAGCTTCAGCTCATTGGTATTGCTGTGACTTCTTTCTTTGAGTAACCTTCACAACTGAGGGATTCTGTAGCTGCTACAAAACAATTGTGTGTGTTGGAGAGTGCAGTGGAGACCAAGAAGAATAAATAAATGTGCCCTGATGGACAGTAAAGTCAAAGGTTTACCGATCCAAAAGTGATAATATAGTTGAAGGTGTAATCTGGTCTCCCCGGCTTCTTATGTCATAGTAACAACAGTAAATTTATGGCCCATTTCTAGCTTCCAAATGTGTCCCATCACCCTCAAGGTGTTTTCAAATCACCTGTTACAATTGGGATATTAAGACCCCCTATAATCGCCACTGCAAGTGTGCAGACCAGTGTAGTTAAGCACAGAGGTCTCCCTCTAGCTGAGTTTCAAACAAAACAACAGGGTGCCATGTCTTCCGCCTTGATAGGGTAGATAGAAGAAGCTGCTAGATGGCTTGAGCAGTATTGAAATATGATAGCTATTGTGTAGTATATGAATTCTGTCTTTTCATGCCTTCAGATTCCTCCCATCGGCCTCACCGAACAGTGTTCACACGAGCCATAGAGGCATGCGATCTCCACTGGCAAGATAGCCACTTACAGTACATTATCAGCAGCGACCTTTACACCAACTACTGTTACCATGACGACACTGAAAACTCACTCTTTGACTCCCGTGGGTGGCCCCTCTGGCATGGTAGGTTATGCAGCCAGAAAGGCTCATTCTGTGACTTGCTGCTTTGTTCTCGTTTGTATGGAATTATAAATGAAGCATTTGTGGTGGGTAGATGAAATGCTTGGCTACAAGGCTGATGTTGTTCTCCTGCTAGGCCTTTGGAAATTCTGCACTAATGCTTGAAATGGTTTGGACAAGACGCCACACTAATGCTTTCTGTTTCCCTTCAGAGCATGTCCCTACTGCTTGTGCGCGGGTGGACGCACTGAGGTCACATGGCTACCCACGGGAGGCCCTCCGACTAGCAATAGCCATTGTCAACACTCTGAGAAGGCAGCAGCAGAAAAGAATGGATATGTTTCGACTGCAAAAGAAAGGTAGGAATGAATTAAAAATTGGTCACACAGTAGATGGGTATTTGTGCAGAAATGTGCAGGTCAGGTTACAATCCAAATTGGTGACAGGAATATTAAAACATTGCATTTTATCAAATCAGAACACCACTAATACTATTTCTTTGCTTGCTCTGGGTAACACATGCAGCACAGCTCTCAGACACTTCCTGTGATTTGTGCTGTTCATTCCAAACCTATGGCCATGACATTCAAGCTGGTAAGTTAGAATTTGTGTGATTTTTTTTTTTTTTTTTTTTTCTTCTAAAAACAGGGCTGGAAGAAATGTAGAATTCAGGAGTCTAGGAGCTGCTACAAAAGATGAAGCCGCTCCTAAAGTTGGACACACATGGTTCCGTTTTTTTCCCGTTAAGCCAGAAGGTGGATTGCGGGAATCCTTCTGCTACTCCTTTTTTTTTTTTTTTTTTCTTCTTTTTTGTATTGTGATAGCAGGGAGACTCCGTCTCTGTTAGAATGCACAGATCAGTTCTGCAGCCACTAATCGGGTGGCTTTTATCCGACATGCTACTTCAACTTCTATTCAGTTGCCTTATTTGGACATAGATATATATCTGGAACCCCAAATTCTTCCTTAATGGTTTGGAATGTTTTAAAGTTATGCTTAGAGAAAATTTGATGTGCCTATTTAAGATCATGACTCATCTACTCACAGAGGATAACTTATAGAATTCTGCCATACACTGGTTATGCCACAGGGGTGCGTTCGGAGAACTGGTGAGGGGCAGATCTTTCAATTTATGACTACAGATTTGAAATATTTTTATAGGATAATTTCAGTATACCTGCACCAACTCTAGGATAGGGACCAGTTCTATAGAGGAGGTTAATCAGGACTTCCAACGATTGCATGAGTGCAGCTTCGTGGTCACAGCTGCATTATTCAGGTCAGTTGTGCTACGAGATAACATTGCAGATTAGGGAGTGCTTCCATGGATTGGAAGTTGTTTCCAGAGACAATCTAGGAAGATTAGGTCCCCAAAGAGGATATATTAATTTCAGAAAATATTTTTCTGGATATGTAGGCTGGGAATTCAGTAAAACTTACAGGTAGGGTGAATCAATTCAAAATCTTTTGCCATATTTTTATAAGATTTAAGGGTAGCTTAGACCATGTATCTAGGCAGTTTTTTTTAAAGCATATCTCCAGGCAGAAACTTCATTACATGTCCTTGTTGCTGATTTGCTACCTTCCCTGAATGTCATCCATCTTCTGGTTCACTCAGTAGTTGCTCTAAAATATCCTGTTCGTTTTCCGACCAAACTTAATTCTCTTTGGTTTCCTGTTTGTAAGGCTGGGAGCTGCTATGCCCCCTATTCCCCCAGCAACTGGCCTTGGCACATCCCTTCTGTAGTTCTTTCTCCAGGAAGCAGTGGTGTAATTCAGCCACACTTGCAGTGGTGGGCAGACCGAGACTATCAGACACATTACACATGTACAGGCCTAGTGTACCCGCCCACATTCACAATTCCCTGTGGATGATGGGAACTGAAGTTTCCTTTTACTGCAGAGAGAGAGGAGAAGATATGATGTAATTCCTGCTGTTACATCTCCTCCTTGGCAGAGCAGATGCTGTTATCTTTTGACTTAGAGATGAGTTCATGAAAATTCTATTAAACTTTCCTCCTATATGGTAAGGATTTTCAAAGTGTTAAGAACGGTGTAGTGTTTTGTGTAGGGGGTGTAATAGTGGGTGATTTTTTATTTTTTTTACCTATCCCAGAATTCTTCTTTAATCTCTGTATAAGAGGGTAAATAGTTTTAATAATGTATGAATATAGGGATGATTAAAAAAGAAGTATGGTATTTGTTTTTTAAAAAAACAAATTATACTCGCCTAGCTGGATGCTGCATCGGTCCGATGCTGCATCTGTTGCCCGCCGGCTCTAACTGAGAACGCAGCAATCACATGACCGCTGATCGCTTTGTTCTCACGGCCACTCTGAGCAGAGACCGGTGACTGTCAGAACGAACTGCACTCCTGTGATCCACAGAAGAACAACCAAAAGAGCTTTGGTTGTACTTCTCTTCTAAATTTCGTTCTTTAGGAATCTGGATTTGCTTCTCTGACATCATTTAGAAATGTGGGATACATACTGCTTGCATTTTCTGAATTTGTTCATAAATGTAAAGACCAGATTGTGCGCCCATACTAGTGTAGTATTGCGGAGCTGATGTATAAAGGGATGCTTGTGATGTAAAATTCAGGTCATAACTAGCCATGAGAGCTGAGAGGGTTAATCCCTTCCCTAAGCTGGTAATTCAATTGCTTGGATATGAATGTAGCTCTCTGCAGATCATATAAATAATACAGATCACGACTCCGGAAATATTTCTTCCTTTGACTCGCAGCTACACGAGCTGCTTTGAACACTACAAATGCGCTCACTGTGTGTCCACTTCAAATAGGAGGGAAGGTTTAATAAGGAGAACGTACAGCCTAATATTCCTTAAACCTTCCTGCCTTGTTCAAATGCCATAAAATGGCACCATATAACCGGCCGTTATTAATCCAATAAATATTCAGATGCACCAGAAGGTTATGTTTTATTTATACCCATCAATAATGTCTTAAAACATTTTACATGTAACTGGACTCCAGCCAGTAATACAAGGGCAAAGCTTCAGATTCGTTCTATACATTTATTCAGTCTGAAATGTTGCCAATACATGTGTGTTGGTAAAGTATAGCTGTGTGTGTGTATATCTGGCATAGTTTACTAGTATCTGTGCAGTGTCTGTAATTTTGTGTATGGTATGTATAATATACATACATACATACATACATACATACATACATACATGTGTATGGCGAGACTGCAAAAAATGTAACGTAGTTTGCATGTGTTTTGTGAGAGGTAGGTAAATAGATGAATTTATTTTCCATTGCAGAACTTTTAATATGCATATCTGAGATGTTTGGCAGCACTTTGAGAGCAGGAACCAATTTCAAAGATTGAATATATTCTCCAAAGCGCTTCTGATCACATGTCTGTCACAGCCATGTAGACTAGAACAATTTTTGCATACAATTCAGCAAAAGTTTAGGGCATGAAGGATTTTTAAACCCCTGCTGAGGTTTTATTGTTGAGATGTTTATATGTAGATGCCCCCCTTTTAGATTGTAAGCTCCAAGGAGCAGGGCCCTCCTAACCCTCTTGTATTGAACTGTATTGTTGCTGTATTGTCTCCCGTTATATTGTGAAGCGCTAAGCAAACTGTTGGCGCTATTTAAATCCTGTATAATATTAATAAGATGTAGAGATCTTCTTTCACATGGTGACACCATATCATACCTGACAAATTGGGTGTCACAGGACAGGGTACCCCACAGGGACACAGATAGCAAAAACTTTCCTAAACTAAAAAAAAAATTGATTCAGTTGGACTTTAAAGGGTAAGTGTACCTTTTAGAGTATGTTACACCCATATTTAATGTTTAACTTGTTCAAGCAGCACCCACCTCCCAAGTCCAGATGGTTTGTAGTTCTCAATGAACTATGAACTTCCCTTGGCATCGGAGATGCTGCTCTCTCTTGGTTCTCATCCTACCTATCCCGACGCTCCTTCAGTGTCACCTACAATGGTGCCACCTCCCCCTCCCTCCCCCTCTCTGTTGGGGTCCCCCAAGGCTCTGTCCTTGGACCCCTTCTCTTCTCCATCTACACCTCCTCCCTGGGCAAACTCATACAATCTCACGGCTTCAACTATCACCTCTATGCTGACGACACCCAAATCTACCTCTCCACCCCTCACCTCACCCCCACTATCTCCGCCCGCATCACTCACCTCCTAAATGACATCTCAGACTGGATGTCGCTACATTTCCTCAAGATTAACCTCTCCAAAACCGAGCTTCTCGTCTTTCCCCCTGCCCACACCCCCCCCCCCATCCTATCCATCATCACCAACAACTCCACTATCACTTCCGCCCCGCAAGCCAAAGTCCTTGGCGTCATTCTTGACGCGAACCTCTCCCTCCAACCGCATGTCAAGTCACTCACAAACACATGCAGGCTCCATCTTCGCAACATTGCCAAGATCCGCTCCTTCCTCACCCCAGACACCACCAAACTTCTAGTACACTCCCTCATCATCTCACGCCTTGACTACTGCAACTCCCTCCTCACTGGCCTACCCAAGTGCAGGCTCTCCCCGCTCCAGACCATCCTGAACTCAGCTGCCAGACTCATCCACCTTACCACCCGCTCCACCTCTGCCACCCCCCTCTGCCTCTCCCTCCACTGGCTCCCGATTGCCCAACGCATCAAATTTAAACTCCTTACCCTGACCTACAAAGCCGTTCACAACACTGCCCCTGACTACCTCACCAATCTGATCACCAGGTACCACCCTACCCGTACCCTTCGCTCCTCACAGGACCTCCTTCTATCCTGCTCCCTGGTCTCCTCCTCCCATGCACGACTGCAGGACTTCTCCAGGTCCTCCCCCATCCTCTGGAACTCACTGCCCCAATCCATCAGACTGTCGCCTTCTCTATTCACATTCAGGCGCTCCCTCAAAACCCATCTCTTCAGGGAAGCCTACCCCACCCTCACCTAACGGCCATCCTCCCTCATTCCTCCTACCACTTCATCCCCCCCAGCCACTTCCTACTGTACCTTTACCCCCTCCCTCCTAGATTGTAAGCTCGTAAGAGCAGGGCCCTCTTACCCCTCGTACGCTGTCTGTCTTTGTTGTACTGTGCCATGTATTGTCCCCCCCTATTGTACAGCGCTGAGCAAACCCTTTGGCGCTATATAAACTCTTAGTAATAATAATAATAATAATAATGAATGCAGTGATCAGCGAACTTGTAGTCCATGGCACTTCCTCCATCTTTCTAACTGAATCCGCTACAAAGGCAATGGTAGAAAGCTTTAGAATGTGTCTTCAGGAGCCTAACCTCAAAGTAGAACTTTACCCATAACTTGATGAAAAGTAATGTTCTTGAGCAAGAAGCATACATTCCATATTAATAATTATGCTACCAAAATGAATGTGTGTTGTGAATCACCCCCAGCATTGTTCTTATTACTGTTTCTTTTTGCTGGAGGCTGCCATTTTGCTGAAGCCCAAAGCCCCTGTGTAAACCCATAGGCTGTCGGCAGACTGGCCTCTACAAATTCGGCACAGTGCCTTTAAAAAAAAAAAAGAGCAAGTGAGCATGTGCAGAGCGGGGTAAGACCGTGTATTACTGGGTTTTAAACAGTATAGACCCTTATTTGTAATGTTTTACATAGCTATACCTGCAAAAAGGGGCCAGTCTGAAGTGATCTAGTAGGACTTCATTTTCTGACTAAAGTTCCACTTTAGCACCCACTTCAACACCCATGATCCACCTATTTGCTTTAAAATTGGGTGCATTGCAATTTTTTACAGATATTTTAATGCTAGGTTCACACACCTGCAATATGATTTTGATCCGCCTTTCAGTGCGATGTATGTAGTGCAACTTTGATAAGTGTTGTTTACTTTATGGGACCAAAATCTCATTGGAATGGCACCAAAGTAGTACAGGAACCTTTCCAAAAGTGCTCCATGCTGAGTCACATTTAATGTGTATGGACACCATTGTAAAACATGTGTCATGCAATTCTGTGTGACTCAAGTCACATCTGAACTTGCAGTAGTGTGGATCAAACCAGAAGTGAAGGTACAAATATTATAATCTACCTATTCTGCTCAGTGTTTGGACTCTCCAGTGAAATCTATGCTGGGGTGCTATTGCCAAGCTTGACGTTGCACATGGCATTTTGAGGAACTTGTTGGTTCAGTAGCACATCAGTGCAATCTTATTTTTATTTGTTTTTGTTTTTTATAGAGCTGCTTCACAAAGGCTTGACATCCATCACAAATCTGGAAGGCTGGGTAGGACATCCCTTGGATCCAATCGGTACTCTATTTAGCAGCCTCATGGAGGCTTGTAAGGCAGATGACGAAGGGTTTCACGGCTTTTCAGACTTCACAGGTAAGTTGCACTTTTTGTGCCATTACTCAGTTTGTAAGTGGCCTTTTGTAGCAGCTCTTTACAGTCCTTGTTCGCTTGGGTGCAGCAGCCAATAATTAGTTTTAATATTTTCAGGGGTGGGTGCTGTGGTTTGCCACACAGAACACTTTGCTCTTTGCCTTACTGTGGTTAAACCAGATTGTGTGGTGAAGATGGTGGTGTTATTCAGGTAAAACAGAATTTTATACTAATACAAGTCATTAGGTGGGCCACTGCATGTTTAACTTTCTCGCCATGCCACATGCGTGCGACACCCCGCGAGTCATTATCTTTCAACAAAAGCAAATATGCTAAATCCGTTAATGTTTTAAAACCAAATTACGTTTTCTTGAAATAATTGTGACATAAATGAGTGTCATTTCTGAACACACAGAGTACAGCATGGTACGATTTCATTAAATGACTCTGGATACCCACTGCTAGTAATGAATGATTGATGGCATTCCAGCTGCAGCTTTTATTAACTTCTAAGTAGGTAATATGAAGATTTGTCATGAGGCATTGTGTGGGGCGTTTAATGCCGCGCACTGCCGACTTTCCACCAGGAAATTAAATTCTCTGTTTTGATTTCTTGATGGTGTTAAACCATTTGGAAATTGAAAGACATAAATCATGCAACCAAATGCAATAATCCATGCAATGTAGGTTTTTCATATTTTTGTGTCAGACTGAAGAGGGTGCCAGTTTGAGGAATTCATTTGACTGTAATTTATCTGTTTAAAGGCAGGCTGTGTCCAGATTTCTTTTTTCTTATGGTTTAAGATGTTCTACTTGGGCAGATTTCTATCACAGTTTATAGATCTGTCCACCTTTGGCAGTCAGAGAAGTGTTATTAATGTAGTTATCTTTGAAGCTGTGTTGCCTTAAAGGCTAACGTAAACCTTTTATTAGAAGAAAAAAAAATAATTGCATATCTTTTTGCAGGTTAAAAAAAAATTAGCATTTTGTATTTTTTTGTATTCTGCAGCCTGTAAGGCATTGCACCCGTCAGTAGATTGCAGACCATTACTGAATTGCAGGAATAATCAATGATCTACAAGAGCGCTTACCAGCACCCTTGCAGGTCATTGAGAACTACAAACTGTCGACCATGGTGGCTACCGATATCTGTAATTCATTCATTCACAGAACTCTGTGAATGAATGACGTAGCTGTTGTGGGTGGGGCTCTGCATGGCTGCACTGGTTTTACATTCTGATAGAGAGGGAGAAGATCCCCCACCTGCTATCATGGGGGGGGGGCTGAGAGAAGGCAGGAGCTGTAACATTCTGCTATGCATACACTTATTGACCAAGTTTACAGGGGTCTATATACACATATACACTCACTGGCCACTTTATTAGGTACACCTTGCTAGTGCCAAGAAAATATTCCCCACACAATTACACCACCACCAGCCCGAACCGTTGAGGATGGATCCATGCTTTCATAATGTTTACGCCAAATTCTGGCCCTACCATCCGAATGTCGTAGCTGAAATCGAATGCCCATTCTCCTCTGACACCAACAAGGTATTTTCATCTACACAACTGCCACTCACTGGATATTTTCTTTTTTTTCGGACCATTCTCTGTAAACCCCAGAAATGGTTGTGCATGAAAATCCCAGATCAGCCGTTTCTGAAATATTTAGACCAGCCCATCTGGTACCAAGAACCAAAGTCACTTAAATCCCCTTTATTCCCTATTTTGATGCTCGGTTTGAACTTCAGCAAGTCGCCTTCACCATGTTTCGATGCCTAAATGCATTGATTTGCTGCCATGTGATTGGCTGATTAGCAATTTGTGCTACCAAGCAATTGAACAGATGTACCTAATAAAGTGGCCGGTGAGTATGATTGTTTTTTTTATTACCTCAAACTTCTCCTTTAAGCCCATTGGTGCGTTTTCTTCGTTCACAGGAAGGGGGGAAGGAGTCGTGACAGTGAAAATTGGTAAAGTGTGCAGTAAGACTGGGTGTATTCTAAGCACTGGATGTACAAGATGCATTAGATAATACAACTTGATGCTGGTAGTCAGAATAACTTACCATCCATTACTACAATCCTCCTTTTGGGGGGCTTTTTACATTTTTATTTTTTTTTAGCTTGAGCAAATTCCTTAAGTTTTATGTGGTTACAGGACCTGGAACATGTAACCTGTTTCACTCTAAATAAAGCTAGAACATGTAGCATGTTCCAAAGGTTCCTTTAAAGGGTTATTTCACCTTTTCGGAAAAGGTGAACACCGTGCACCATCTTGGTTTCTTTAACTGCAGCACTTCTGAGTCAGACCTGGAACACGCATGCAGCCATTGAAGTGAAAGCACTGGCTATTCATACTTGCTCCAGGTTTATAACTGCAACCTTGGAATCAGAATGACATCCATCTATCATTTTGAAAAGGAAAAGTTGGAGACGACAGGCTGCGTATACTTCTATCACTACCATTTCTTTCTGTACTACACACTTGTCGCTATTTATGCTAGCATTGTAACTGGTCATAACATCATGATTGTTTGACACAATTCATGTCTAAACATTTTTATTGGTCCTTCTCATGAAGTAAAATTACTGTTTAGGATTTCAGATTTTGAGAATATTTGTTCAGTTCGTTATTGTCAATGGTCTTGAGCTAGATGTAGCTAAAATCACTTATGTGACTGGGAAATTATAGCAAACTATTCATGAGAAAAATCAAATCTGTGGCTAATCCTGACTGTACAGCATGTTCTGCATCTGGTAGCAGAGTAAGCTCTTAGTTATATCTTTCCTGCAATGGTGGTCACCTTTCGGTATCACCTACTGCCCCCTGAAGTTTCTGCACTTCTAGTAGTGGAGTGTGGGCATGCGCCCCCCCACATCCCTACTGTGCAGGGACTCTGGCGTTCCGGAGACCTTAGCATTGGGGGAGCTTGCCTATGGATTTGCAGATAGCAGCCTTAAGGGGCTGTTCACACCATGCCCGCACATGAATCTCACAGGAATGCGTTCTGTGTTCCTGTCCGATTCACATGCAGTTGTGTGCGGTGTGGTTTCAGCCCATTCATTTTTGAATGCGTAAAAATAGTGCATGCGCTGCTTTTTAAAACAAACTGCTAACACTGGATTGCATGGTACTTCTGTACCATGTGATCCGGTTGCAAAAATTCACTGCGTTTGTGACCTGCGTTTGGGGTGTCTATAACTTTGTATAAACACCCACAGCAGGTCGCAAATGGAGTGCGTTTTGCGTGCTCTGTGGAACTCGCATTGCATTCCTGTCTGATTCAAATGCAGTTCTGTGCGGTGTGGTTTCAGCCCTTTCATTCTGAATGCGCAGAAATCGCACTGCAGTGCAATTACAATCACAGCAGATCCCAAATGGAGTGTGTTTTGCGTGCTCTGTGGAACTCGTATTGCATTCCTGTCTGATTCAAATGCAGTTCTGTGCGGTGTGGTTTCAGCCCTTTCATTCTGAATGTGCAGAAATCGCACTGCAGTGCAATTACAATCACAGCAGATCCCAAATGGAGTGCGTTTTGCATGCTCTGTGGAACTCTCATTGCATTCCCGTGCATTAATGTTCCCACCATGATTTGAACCTGCTCGAAGTGGGAAAAGTGTGAGCAACTGTGTATCTTCAGCTACAGAATACAGTCCTTCATTTACAATCCGTTTACCATAGGCCTTTGCTTGGGCATTTGTAGGACAATGTCCGAAGGTCAGTTGATTTTATTTGATATTATAACAGCTAACACTGTCATATGTTTTGTGCATCATCTGTGTATGCTGTCATTATGACTTACACCCCACATGATCAATTTTAGATCACAACTAAATAATTCTTTCATTTTGTGGATTAGGCCAGTTTCCACCCATTCCCTTCTAGCACCATTCCCTCCACTACTGCCTTACTCCATCAGGCAGCTTTATAGAACTTTGATTTAGCTGTACTACTTGCAGTTATCTAATTGGATGCCTGAGGGATAGCTTCACGTGAACAAACAACTCTTTGGTGTTTTGCCTAGGAACTTTTGATCTTGCATTTAGTCCAGGCACTGCCTCCAGAGATGGCTGTGTAGGAGTTTCTAGTGCTATGCAGTTCATGGAAAAAATGCTTTCATGGTTCAGAATAGCTGAAGGATAAATTGTTGTGTAGCTGGGAACTTCCATTCTCTGTTCTCATGCCTGTTAGATCCTTGTGTATATATGTAGTGTAGGAGTGGTGCTTTAAACATTGGCATTCTTGTTTCATATACATTGGAGGCAGGTTATTTGCTTTTGCCTCTTTAGAAAATAGAGCCAGTTTGCCAGGAATCAACAACTTTAGTGTGGAGTGAGGCACGTGGCCTTACCTGTGTGGAATGTCTTGCCATTTGGAATCAGTACTTTCTGGGTCACTAATCTAGGACAAGTATGTAGATCACCTGTTCTGATTTCACTTGATGCATACTTAAGATTGTCATAGGTAAATCAAAATTCAGCCAGTTCAACAGGGATTGGACAAATTTAAATCAGTGTGTGACTGTCCCCAATCAACCGATTGATCGTTAGATTGACTTCTTTTGAACAGGAAAGGCCACACTCTGACTTCTATTGAGAAGACAAACTGGAAAACTTTTGTTGATCAGCAACTGCAGCCACTGATCTTTGTTTTCTGACAGCGGAGAGACCCACTGTCAGAATACAATGTCTGAGCGGGGAGGGGAGGAATTCCTCTATCCATCATGCTTGTTTCAGTAGAGTAATCTGTGGCCAGCTTAGTGTTTCTAAACCCAGGACCCTGCATTCACTATATCTGGTCTCCTACGGTACACAGAACATGGAAATGCTATTATTTTAATAGAAACTGCTCCAATCACATGCACCCTCCCCCTCCCAAAAAAAACAAAAAACTCTCTAGCAATACACACCAAGCTCAGCATGTGCAGCGTGCCTCCTAGGGCTCTGTACTATCAGCAGAGAGATTGGGGACTGTGGAAGAAGAGGAAGATCAGACAGAGAAGACAGGATCAAACCATCCTTTTGCACAAGGCAGAGGATTAACCCCTTAGGTTCCACAGTGCGTATAACAAGCATGCTTTACTGCATATACACACTGTTGTGGGTTTAGTAACACATTAACTCAGACTATGAGGTTCATAATATCAATATGGCAAATGGCATTTTCAGAAGGTCCGTAATGGCAGGCTACTATATCTGACAGGTGTCCTTTTAATGAAATGTTAAAGGATAAGTTCACTTTTGAGGAACATGTTACATGTTCCACCCGTTTTAGGGTGGAACATGTAATATGTTCTTAATGCTGCAGCTGTGACCCGATCCTCCCCCTCCCTGTTACAGTAAAGTCGTACGATTTCAAAGTCGGGTGAGAGGCCGACTTCAGGTGTGATTTGCAAGACATCTGACACAGATGTCTATGCAAATCGCACCAAAAGTAGTGCATGTACTACTTTAGAAATCGGTGCGGCACCGGCCAAGTCGGGACTGCACCAATTTGACTGTTCTAATTGCGGACAATAGGGTGCGACTTGGCATACGATTTGCAAGTCGCACCCGATGTAACCGGGGTGTAAAGGTGTTTTTTCTTTAGGTCTGATTTTCTTTAAAAAAAGCGTTGAAGCTCCTTTTATTCACAGGAATTGGATAGTAAAATGTAGATATTTTTTTTCTTCTTTTTTAATCATGGAAAAAAAAAATAACCTGCTTTAATTTCTGTTGTAACCTGCTTTAATTTCTGTTGTATTTATTTAAAGGAAACGTGCATAAAAAGTGTACAGATTTCAATGCTTGTCTTGCACATCAGTTATGTTTTTTAAAGAAGCTGGCTTTAGGATGGCCTTAACTGATGGACATTTAGGTTCTTGGGTATCTGTTGAGGCTTTGGCCATGTATCCACTTGCTATTTTATTGCCTGGGGATTTCTTATCTCGTGTCGCAAGGGTTTGAGCGTTAGAGCGGTTTGCTGAATCTTTGTTTTTCTTACTACAGATGGCTTTGGGCATTGCAAGTCTCAGGAATACCAACACCTGTCTCCACACAAGTTTCTGGAAGAAGGAGAGTCTTACCTAACACTGGCTGTGGAGGTTGCTCTGATAGGACTGGGGCAGCAGAGGATCATGCCAGATGGCTTGTATGCACAAGAGAAGGTCTGCCGAAACGAGGAGCAGCAGCTCATCTCTAAACTACAGGAAATAGAGCTGGATGATACGCTGGTGAAAATCTTCAGAAAACAAGCAGTCTTCCTACTAGAAGGTGAGGAACTAATCCTAGAAATCCAGCGTCCACATATTCAGGCTGTTACTTCATAGCCCCACAGATGTTTCTTGGATGATATAACACAAGCTTGTACATTTTGTCTTGAAGTGCACTTGTAGTGTGGGATAAAACCTCTCTCGGGTTATGTTTTAACCACTTGCCTACCGGGCACTTATACCCTCTTCCTGGCCAATTTTCAGCGCTGTCACACATGGAATGACAATTGCGTGGTCATGCAACACTGTACCCATATGAAATTTTTATCATCTTTTTTTGAAACAGAGCTTTCTTTTGGTGGTATTTAATCACCACTGGGTTTTTCATTTTTTGCTAAACAAACTAAAAAAAGACTGAAAAACTAAAAAAAAAAAAGTTTTTTCTTAGTTCTTGTTATAAAATTTTGTAAATAGGTAATTTTTCTCCTTCACTGATGTGCGCTAATGAGGCTGCACTGATGAGGCATTGGTAGGTGGCACTGATGGGCATTGACAGGCATCGCTGATGGGCACTGAAAGGCAGCACTCATATATGGCACTGATAGGCTGTGCTGACTGGCACTGATAGGCAGCATTGAAAGGCAGCTCTGATGGGCACTGCTATGTGGCATTGATGTGCACTGGTAGGCACGGACAGGTGGCATTGATGGGCAATGACTGGTGGCACTGATGGGGCTTTACTGATCATCCGTGCCCTGATGATCAGTGTAGATGTCCCCTCATTCTGTCAGCGTGAGGAGAGGACTGCCGATAACCAGCATTTCCTTGTTTACATGCGATCAGCTGTGATTGGACTCAGCTGATCACATGACAGAGCTGACGTCATCGGCTCTTTACTCTGATCGGTGATCCGCTGTGTCCCAGGGACACAGCTCAGTGCCGATCGCTGCGCTGAGTGGGCATGCGCAGTTAACAGTGGGAGGACATCATATGACGTCCTAGAATGAGAGAACCGCCGCCCACCTGTCATTTCCTTATAGGGCGGGCGGAAGTTTGATTTAAACTGCGGTTTTCTCCTCCCCAGGGAAGAAATGGGTTCACTTCCTTTTCTCCCTCCAGGTTCTGGCTGTATACAGGGATTTAACCTGGCTCTGTCAGCAGTGACTTTGCAACATTCTACTCTTCTAATCAGCATTTTAAACATAGCACAAGAGGGGCAGCAGGGTAGCGGGGTGGGCTAAGCTGCTGAGAAAATGACATTAGTAGTACTTTTGAGAATTGAGTATGAATTGCTCCACAGTGTCTACAGCTACAGAGGTCTGTGGGAGCTTGTTTTAAAGTATAAGCTCACCTTTAAATAAATGCACATCTTTTTGCAGTTTAGAAAAAAAAAAATTTTTTCAGCAGATCAAGGGTGCAATGCAGGGCTCTTTCATGGTGTCAGTGTAAGCTGGAGGTATGAGCAGGCAGTTACACACTGACACAAAGCATCAGTTAAATACCTAAAGCGATCAACAGCACATTGGGAACTACAAGCCAAAAAGGCTGTCGGTACATGTAGCTCTCCGTTTACAGAACTCTGTGAATGAACAATGTGGCCAGATGGGCGGAGCCCTGCAAGAACACATCATTTTTTTATTTTTATTTTTAAATCGTGACAGCAGACGTGGGGAGAATATCCCCAGCCTGCTGTCACGGGGGGGGGGGGCAGCTGCAGCAATACCATTGTACACCCTGGTGTAATATGTTATAAAAGGTGAACTTCTCCTTTAAACATAACTCCTGAATGTCCATGGTCTGGCTGCAGACTCGCATTAAATTGGTACAGGGAGTGAGATTTTACATTACTGTTTATTGGGAGCAATACTTATCTTCCTGTTTAGGCCTCATTGAAATGGGTGTACTGTTTGATACATCTGTACAAAGGACCATCTTTACTCGCATGAGGGGGCAGAGGTGTTTCGTGTAGCCATTCTGTTCAAATCAATGACAGGCGGTCAGCTGTATAGATCTCCAAACACATCCTCAGGGATGCTCTTGGAGAGTCATGCAGCCCTTTGCCTGGCATTGATTTCAACAGGCTGCCTGCACGTGGCTGCACAAATGCCTGTGCCTCTCATGCGGGTACAGGCAGCCCTTTGCACAGGTGTGGAACAGTATGTCCATGTGAGAATGAGGCATCAACATAAAGCACCTGCAGTTTTGCATAGTTTGGGGTGGAAAGCAGTAATTTGGATAATCTCCTACCCCCAGCTCACTTAGAACAGCTAGTTTGTTCTTAGATTAAGTGCTCACTTGGGATTGCCTGAAACTCTTATCCAGGTGGTTTTCCCTGGTTATCTTTGCATGGTGTGTAGCTCAGTTGTGGTTTATGCAGTGGATGTTGCTTTGTCCCCAGCAAATCTATAGGACTTCCACTTTCAGGGTAAACTGCTTTGGTGCAAAGGTGTCCGTCTAATGCAAATTTAAAAAGCTTTCATGTAAAGCTTTTCCACTGCGGTTTGCACTAAGTATAAAGCCGTGCATTAAACTTGCATGAGGGTGGAATCCTTCTTTAGCAAATGTCATTTATGTGCATAGGAATAACTGATCTGCTTGCACAGCATGCGGCTGTATGGATTTAATTATTCCACAATAGCTTTACATTCCTTTTCTGCCGTATTGATCATTAACAGAGGAACGCCCAACCGCTGCATTTATTAGATGCTGACAGGATGAAGAGTTGGTTCCATCTGCTCCTGTAATCCGCTCAGAAATGTGTGCAACATGCTTGGCGTCTGCCAATTGCTGTGAGAACACCTTCCCTTTCCAAAGGCAGAGGAGAGGATAGAACAGTGGTGTGTAATGGCACCAGTTAGATTGAGTTCATATTGTTGAATGCTGCTGTTGCCATTTACAATAGCCTTGTATACATTCTGATGTTTACCCCTGAAAGAGATCTTCACCCAGGTTTGTTTGGTTTTGGATGGGTGTATTAGGATACCTGATGTACAATATATAAATTTGCAAACTTTTTTTTTTTTTTTTTTTTTTTAAAGTTTTGGATAGAGTGGAAAGGGTTTTGAACGCTTGTCAGTGCCCCCGTTAAAGAGATTCACCCTCTCTAATTGTCCTGTTTACCATTACCATGGAAAGTGAAAGTTAAAGAAAATACCAAACTTTGAGTTGCCCCAGAAAAGTAAGAGGGAAATCTTTCAATGGGAACATTTAGTTCTTGTGACCTGAGGGTCCCCAGGGAATTTCTTTAAAGCGGAGCTCCACCCAAAAGGCGAAGTTCCGCTTTAAAGACTGGTCCCTCGCTCCCCATTAAGGATTGGCACCTTTTGGGGGCGGGGGGCGAATTTGACAGGTATCCGCTTTGATCGCCTAGACGTTTGGAAGTGGAAGGTGTCCTCCCTCTACGTAGTCTTTTGGGAATTGTGACAGGTCACAGTAGACGGGGCCATTCAGGAAGTGCAGTGCTACTTGCGCATGTGCAGTGGGCACCGGGCTGTGAAGCCGCAAGCTGTCGCATCTGGGTGCCCACACTGAAGATGACGGCGCCCAGGGAGAGAAGATGGCCAGTAAAACAGGCTGCAGGGGACACACTACGGGGCTGAGGGACAGGTGAGTGGCTGTTTTTTAAAAGTCAGCAGCTACAGTTTTTAGAGCTGCTGACTTTTATTTTTTGACAGCGGGAGTGGAACTCCGCTTTAATTTATGGGGATTTCTTTTCACTTACTGTTTTGGCTATGGGACAGGTAAATCTCCACAATGGGACACAGATGGCAAAAAAAATCTGACGGGTTATAACCTCCCTTTATGCTATCAAAAATGAAAAAAGGCCTATAGTTCCAGTTTAAAATGTATATAAAGCTAAAAAAACAAACCTTTTAATATGTTGTAGCTTGTTAGTCATTAGATATGGTGGCTACATTAGTTTTCTTTGTAAAGGGCCCCCCCCCCTTTTTTTGTCACCTGTTGATCCTGCCAGTAACACACATCCTAGCCTAAGATGACAACTCATGATGATATACTCATTGTACTGTATCTATGGAGGAGTCGTGTTTTCACCACAGGACAGGACGGAAAAATACTTCACCCTCTCATTTTGTTTGTATTCTAGAGAAGGCGGGGCTACGTTGCCCACAGGGAAAGCTGTAAACAGTGGAACTGATAGGAATACAACACAGGGAGAAGAGTTATCGCATGATGAGATTTCTAGCAGAATTGCCAGGGTTTTTTCTTGGCGCTTATCAAACTGTTCTAACATTTTCAGTGGTATATTTGAGAGACTAAGAGAGCTTATTGTTGGGGGTCTATATAAACTATAAAAGTGAAGATTCACAAGGGTAAAAACCCATGAACACATGTCATACAGCATGAAAATGCCTTTACTACAGACCTCTCATCTGTACGTTAAATATGTAAAAATGTTGCAGCCTCAGAATGAGCAGTTTGGCCTTGGATACTTACAGATCACAGCAGCATTTTGTGATCCCTGATCTGATGACATCTGTTCACAGAAAAGCGGCTACTGAAATTATAAGGATCTTACCCGTGTAGTAGAAATCGTTAACAAGGAACCATCCTGTCAATCACAACACTGCTGAGCTGTGTCCTTTACCTTCTCTGCCTGCAGTGTTGTGGTTGAACTCCCGGACTGTTTTGTCCATGTATCTGGGGTGTCTTGGTATCTTTTCCTCCTCGTGAGATCTGGGGGCAGAAATGTATTTGCGTTTCGCCAAAGATTCAGATCAAGGGTAGGCAACCTCGGCATTCCAGCTGTAGTCCAACTGCAAAGCCTGTCAAGCCTGTGGCTGTCAGTCATGCAGTGCCTTAATGGACTTGCAGTTCACAACAGCTGGAGTGATGACTTTGCTTACCCCTGATCTAGACTATCTCCAGCAGACTCTGTAGTGTCTCCAGAGCATTGAAAAGAACCGGGCAGTGTGGTAAAGGTAAATGCATGGTACAGGTGCAACATTGGATTGTAAGCACCACTTCTGATTGCTTCTTTGTTGTCCTTGCAGGTCTGAAATATTACATGCATTTAGAATAAGAAGTGAGAGCTGTGATCTTGATGAAGTCATGTCTTCTCTTTACAGCTGGACCATACAGTGGTTTGGGTGAAATCATCCATCGAGAGAGTATTCCAATGCACACATTTGCCAAGTATCTCTTCACCTCCCTCCTACCTCACGATGCTGAACTGGCATACAAAATTGCACTGCGAGCAATGAGGTTTGTCTTGGCCAAGTTTGTTAATGCATCTAAATTGCTACCTGACAAAAATTTATGATTTCCACCCTCTCCTGTCTAGCCAAACATAATGATGAACTTGAAGTGCACATGCACCTAGATTAGCTTTGATATGATCCGTTTGAGAGTAAAGAGGAAAATTGCCCTTTTCAAAAACATTTCTTTTTCACCATCTAATAATGTAATCCTAGATCATTTTTATTTATTTTTATTTCAGGTACTTATATAGCGCCGTCAATTTATGCAGCACTTTACACATATATATTGTACATTCTCATCAGTCCCTAACCCTCAAGGGGTGTACAATCTAAGGTCCCTAACTTACATTCATACATGCACATATAAGGGCAATTTAGACAGGATCCAATTTACCTACCAGCATGACTTTGGAGTGTGGGAGGAAATCAGAGTACCCGGACGAAACCCACGCAGGCACAGGGAGAACATGCAAACTCCAGGCAGGTGGTGCTATGGCTGGGATTCGAACCAACGACCGTAGTACTGCCAGGCGGAAGTGCTAACCATTTAGCCACTGTGCTGCTCAAATCATGGTTCTTACTGGGATTTTGACAGACTGCAGGGTGTATGTATGTGTGTATGTATACACTGTAATAAATATATATATTATAATATAATTTATTTATTTTTTAAGCTCAGACTGAAATCTCTAGGGTATCTGGTTATCCAGCAATTCTGCAGGGTTGCAGAAAACACATATACTGATGGCCAATAAGGGGGGGAATGTATGCACTTCCAAATAGAAATGAGGAACAAGTAAAAAAAAAAAAAGTGTGTGTGTGTGTATATATGTATGTATGTATGTATGTATATATATAATATATATATATATATATATATATATATATTTCTTTTTTTTCTTTTTTTTTTTTTTTTTTGCAGGTGAAAATTACAGTAATTGAGTATTCAGTAGAAGTATTCTAGTTCCCTCCTCCCAGCATGCTCAGATTGTGCCTTGTCCTCTGTTCAGCTGATTGGAGCCCTTGGCTCATACTTTTTTCACAGTGAAGTCTCTGTGTCTGCAGGTTGCTAGTGTTGGAATCCACGGCTCCCACTGGAGACATGTCCCGCCCGCACCACATCGCCTCAGTTGTTCCTAACCGTTATCCCCGTTGGTTCACCCTGAGTCATATTGAGTCGCAGCAGTGTGAGCTGGCATCTACAATGCTGACCGCAGCCAAAGGTACAGTGATATGGACAGCTTGCTAGTATTTTCTAAGCCAGAACTTCTTTTTTTTTTTTCTCCCCTTTTTAAACTGAATGTAGTGTATCTGTCTAAAGCTGCTTGTGCCAAGTCAGGCAGAAATATGTCAGAATTTGGTATTTAGAAACTAGATGAAAACAAGCAATACCTACTAGCAAACATTTGGTATTGCTTTTCTGTTCTGTTGTAGATTTGTTACATAGAGGGCCAGTTAGAACAAGGCTAGACTAATGTTGCCAACTGAAGTGCAACGTTTCTTTGCTTTCACCAATTTTATTGCTACCATGGTGGTGCTGTAGTGTGATTTTTCCCTAAGGCCCCATTCACACCTGAGTATTTTTGTAGCATGAAGCTTCCAAAATGCTCAGGGAGAAAAAAGAAACATCAGTATTTTTCTATGGAGATGGTTCACTTGCCCACTGCAAGTCGCCTGAAGCTAAAAAAAATTTTGGAGCAAGTTTTGTAGGTCCATTCGGGCAGGTTGAAAAACGCTCTTGGTCGTGCAAGCGCGGTTTCATGTATTTCTATGGGAATGAAAACACGCACCAGGCATGGCAACAAATGTCACAGATGAAATTTTTCTCTATTGGCTAATACAAAAATGCCAAAACACAATAAAAGCCCGGAAAAACCCCTGAACAAACCACGCACAAACATGCGCAACAAACGAGCAGAAAAATGCACAAACAAATTATGCTCTGGTATGAATGGGGCCCAACTGGTGCATAGATTCATAAGAGGTCTGTTTGTACCTGCACCACAACCTATGGGAGTACCTCTTTGACATCTGTGCTACAGGAAGTTGGTCCTGCAGTAAGAACAAAGTAGTCACACTACATAATTGCACTGAAATTGGATAAAATCACAGATGCAGTAGTGTGAACCTAGCCTAATAGTTTTGTTTCAGTTCTCTTTTTAATTCTTTTTTCTATTTTGTCCATGTGTAAACATAGCATTGTTTAAAAGGGAGCTGCCATGACTGACATGCTTTTGAAAGGTTCAGGCTCTAGTACTGTAGTTTCCCTTTCTTGGCTTTTGTAGGACTCTTCCATGATCTTTGTTTTCTAGTAATATATATATTCTTCATCTGCACTGGAGAGCCATGTGTTTCCCTGATGCCTTCCTAGAAGGAAATAAGCAGTCTCTCTTCTTTATAGTAATTACAGTAATAAAGGTAATTATTTTCTTCTTGCAGGTGATGTTAGGCGACTGGAAACAGTGTTAGAATCCATCCAGAAAAACATCCACTCCTCATCGCACATATTTAAACTTGCACAGGATGCATTTAAAATTGCGACTTTAATGGACAGTTTACCGGATATAACTCTTTTGAAAGTATCTTTGGAGCTGGGCCTTCAGGTTAGTAAATGCTTTACCTGAAATTTGATTGGGGTGTTAAAAAGTGGTCTTTGGACAGCTGCTCTTTAACCTTGTGACGGTTAATTATTTAGAGCAACATAGTTCCAAAATATCTCCTTGTGTATGCTGCATGTAATATATGGTTTGGCATTACTGCGTCATATTCTCAAATGTTTTGGTTAGAAGTACACTTTAAGAACACATCAGCTTGAAGTTAATAAGCAGCAAATAATTAGGGTGCAGGCCCTGGCAACTGTGCAGAATATAAAGGTTTTTGGAAGGATAAGTCCCTTACATACTGTTACTACTTAGAAGAGCTTAGGAGAGAATTGCTATTTACAGCGATCAATTCCATGTCTATTTCTTGTGGCAATGTACCCAGCACTCCCATATGCTTACAAACACAGCACTAGTGTGGTAACCTAAAAATCACATGGAGGACCACACTTGTAGGCCTCGGGTCGGTGCAGCAGCTTCTATGAGGGTGCATTCATACTTGAGCTATTTGTAGCTTGAAGTTCGAAGCTCAAAAACTGCTCAAACTTAAAAAAAAAAAAAAAAAAAAAAAGTGTTTTCTATGGTGCCTGTTTGCGCAATCAGGTGTGAATAGGCACCATAGAGAACAATTGATTTTTGCTTGCGTTTTTTTGAGCTTTGAGCTACAAATCACTCAAGTGTGAATGCAGTCTAAGGCTCATACATGCTTCAGAAAATGGGAAAAAATACTTCTCCATTCTGATGATACAAGATGAGCAGATGAACCACTGCTTCTCTGTCTGTTGAATACTGGGGATGGATATGCAGACACTTCTAAAATGTTATAAGTTTTAGTGCTGTAAATCTTTCAAACTATGGGCGTCTCATCTCAACTTCTGCAGAGCACATGTGAAATTTGGCATTCTTCTGGTTTTTAGAGGTCATCCAGTTGCTTTAGTAATTTCAGGCAGTTAAAGCTGAACTAAACCCATCAATTTATGTTTCCTAAAACCGTTACATTCAGGGCATGCCATGAATGATAGCTGTCAGGGTTGCTTGTGTTCTCAACTGAACTGTCAATCCAATGGCTGGTTGCATAACTGATCACATGTGCAACACCATGGCAACTGCCGATAAAACAAAGGATGCTTCTTTGGCTTTAACCACCTCCCGCCTGCCATATAGTAATATGACGTACGGGTGCAAGGTGGTTCTCTCGTTCTGGGAGGACGTCATATTACGTCCTCCCATTGTCACTGCGAATGCGCGGCTCAGGAAGCGTGCGGCGATCGCCGATGTGCTGTGTCCCTTGGACACAGCGGATCACGGAAAGAGCCGAAGATGTCGGCTCGGTCATGTGATCAGCTGTGTCCAATCACAGCTGATCACATGTAAACAGGGAAATTCCGGTTATCGGTATTTTTCTCTTTACAAGCTGTCACGCTGACAGCTCGAGAGGAGAGGAGAGCCAGTAATCGGCATTCCGCGGAGGGGACATGTACACTGATCATCAGGGCACTGATGATCAGTGTACCCTGATGATCAGTGTAGCCCCAGCAGTGCCACCTGTCAGTGTCCATCAGTGTCTTATGTCAGTGCCTTGTGCCAGTGCCATCAGTGCCACATATCCGTGCCTACCAGTGCCCATCTGAGCTGCTTTTCAGTGTCACCCATTAGTGCCAGTTAGTGCCACCTATCATTGCTAATCAGTGCCACCTATCAGTGCTGCTAGTCAGTGCTGCCTATCAGTGCCATATATCAGTGCTGCCTTTCAGTGCCCATCAGTGATGACTGTCAATGCCCATCAGTGCCACCTACCAGTGCCTCCTCATCAGTGTCCATCAGTGCAGCCTCATTAGTGCACATCAGTGAAGGAGAAAAATCACTTATTTACAAAATTTTATAACAAAAACAAAGAAACTTTTTTTTCAAAATTTTCAGTGGTTTTTGGTTTAAGAAGGAATAAAAATCCCAGAGGTGATTAAATAGCACCAAATAAAGCTCTATCTGTCACAAAAGAATGATAAAAATTTCATATGGGTACAGTGTTGTATGACCGCGCAATTGTCATTCAAAGTGCGACAGCGCTGAAAGCTGGAAATTGGCCTGGGCAGGAAGGGGGTATAAGTGCCCGATAGGCTAGTGGTTAAAGGATAGGTGGGTTTTGTTTACTTTTAGATTACACAAATGCTAGGGTTCATGTTAAGCTTTTGTTTCAAGATGTACCTTTTAAACACTGATTGCAAACTAAGTGCTCAGATCTCTAAAAACATGTGCAGCAATCCAACATTATATTTTTATAGAAATGGTTTGTAAAAAAGATGTACAGCTATAAAATAGACAGTTTCTTTTCGTAAAGTAAATTTTTTACCTCCCCGTAATTGTAAAAATGCAAACTGCACAAATTGACCAGCTTTTCTTCTGCCCAAGTAATAAAGATGGCCAGTTGTGCTTGTTACCTGATTACATTTGCACTTGAAAGGGTTTCACACAGTGCCCAGAAACAACTTGCAGCTCACTGTCCTTATGGAAGGTTATGTGGTCTTACAACTATCTGTATTTTCCTGAAGCTTAAAGTGAACCTGCCCTCTGTGTACCAGAAGCACCATCTAAGAGCTTACTATATGCCCTTTCTGAAATATAATTGCCTGAGGGGAGTGGGGGGGGACATCACTTCCTTGGTCATATTACAGTGCATAGACCTGGCCATTGGCTGCTAGTCTCCAGCACCCTTCCAAGGAATGTCACATGCTCCTCCATACCTGGAAGATGCCAAGTATTGTTGCTGATGGCAGTGGGGACCACCGTAATTGATATCTCCCCACCCCTGCACATTGAGTATCACCAGGGATCTATGACACCATAAAGGTGGATTCCATGTGGAAATACATAAAGCAATGCCTTTCAGAGACCGAAAGCAGGAGGTTTTCATCATAGCAGTGCTTTGGTTTAATGAAGCATTGGGGGGAATCTACCGCTACAGCCATGGATCGCATTTAAAACCCAGCAGAACACTAAACAATCCCTTTTTCCATCCAAAACTAAAGAACATTAACCCATTTGATCCATTTTTAGGTTTCTTTGCAGTTTTGTGCATTGTCACGCTTGTGACTCTGCCTGTGTATAGAGAATGGAAGCTATGTATAGACTTAGTTTAATATTGATTCCTCATAATGGTTATCTATGGGATCCTTAATAGCTTTGTCAAAGTGTGTGTGAAATCAATTTTGTCTTTTCCCAAGTGGTAAATAGCATACATTAAAAATAGGCAGGTTGTATAAACGAAATCAAGACAGGTTTCCCTTGAGACTTACAGTATGTACCCGTAAGCAGTCTATCAACTCTTTAGTAGTGTTATCAGGAGTGTTTGAACTGTACCAATTCCAATACCAAGCATCCTGCAATACCGTCCAATACCAAGAATCTTGCAATAGCTTCCAGTACCAAGCATCCTGCAATACCTTCCAATACCAAGCATCCTGCAATAGCTTCCAGTACCAAGCATCCTGCAATAGCTTCCAATACCAAGCATCCTGCAATAGCTTCCAATACCAAGCATCCTGCAATAGCTTCCAATACCAAGCATCCTGCAATAGCTTCAATACCAAGCATCCTGCAATAGCTTCCAATACCAAGCATCCTGCAATAGCTTCCAATACCAAGCATCCTGCAATACCGTCCAATACCAAGCATCCTGCAATACCGTCCAATACCAAGCATCCTGCAATACCGTCCAATACCAAGCATCTTGCAATACCGTGCAATACCAAGCATCCTGCAATACCGTCCAATACCAAGCATCCTGCAATACCGTCCAATACCAAGCATCCTGCAATACCGTCCAATACCAAGCATCCTGCAATACCGTCCAATACCAAGCATCCTGCAATACCGTCCAATACCAAGCATCCTGCAATAGCGTCCAATACCAAGCATCCTGCAATAGCGTCCAATACCAAGCATCCTGCAATAGCGTCCAATACCAAGCATCCTGCAATAGCGTCCAATACCAAGCATCCTGCAATAGCGTCCAATACCAAGCATCCTGCAATAGCGTCCAATACCAAGCATCCTGCAATAGCTTCCAATACCAAGCATCCTGCAATAGCGTCCAATACCAAGCATCCTGCAATAGCTTCCAATACCAAGCATCCTGCAATAGCTTCCAATACCAAGCATCCTGCAATAGCGTCCAATACCAAGCATCCTGCAATAGCGTCCAATACCAAGCATCCTGCAATAGCGTCCAATACCAAGCATCCTGCAATACGTCCAATACCAAGCATCCTGCAATAGCGTCCAATACCAAGCATCCTGCAATAGCGTCCAATACCAAGCATCCTGCAGTAGCGTCCAATACCAAGCATCCTGCAATAGCGTCCAATACCAAGCATCCTGCAATAGCGTCCAATACCAAGCATCCTGCAATAGCGTCCAATACCAAGCATCCTGCAATAGCTTCCAATACCAAGCATCCTGCAATAGCGTCCAATACCAAGCATCCTGCAATAGCGTCCAATACCAAGCATCCTGTAATAGCGTCCAATACCAAGCATCCTGCAATAGCTTCCAATACCAAACATCCTGCAATAGCTTCCAATACCAAGCATCCTGCAATAGCTTCCAATACCAAGCATCCTGCAATACCGTCCAATACCAAGCATCCTGCAATACCGTCCAATACCAAGCATCCTGCAATATACCGTCCAATACCAAGCATCCTGCAATAGCTTCCAATACCAAGCATCCTGCAATAGCTTCCAATACCAAGCATCCTGCAATAGCTTCCAATACCAAGCATCCTGCAATAGCTTCCAATACCAAGCATCCTGCAATAGCTTCCAGTACCAAGCATCCTGCAATAGCTTCCAGTACCAAGCATCCAAATAGCATCCTGCAATAGCTTCCAGTACCAAGCATCCTGCAATAGCTTCCAGTACCAAGCATCCTGCAATAGCTTCCAGTACCAAGCATCCTGCAATAGCTTCCAGTACCAAGCATCCTGCAATACCTTCCAGTACCAA